TCAAAGAATAGATCTACAACTACATTTCTCTATCTGCAATTGTAACGACCGAATAGCCAACGGGTAATAATCTTTTGTTAGTGTTTTCATCTCATGCATAGGTAGTGGCGGTGTTGCGAATACTAATTGAGAATTGACGTGAGGAGTCGAGAATTTGCATCCGAATGAAGCTTTGTGGAGCCATCTAACTGAGACACGAGGCATAAGTGCTATTTGCGGAAGGAAGGAGAATTTCTGGCATGTCTTCACTCATCCTAATTTTGCAGTCCGAGGTAAACACTTGTTACTTGTACATGGTGTATATAGATTGTGATAAAATTAAGAAGCGATCAATCATTTTTCGCCCCTGGGAGTGGACTGGAGTGGAGTTACGAAAGGTTTATAAAGATATCAGATAAATGTGGAGTGATTTTCTTGTTTGACGTGGTTCTGATATATTGAACTACATTGTCTAGTAGCTTAAGGTTTCACAGTCTTCAATACAATCCCAAGCATGCAGGTTAGACCATTTTTTCGTCAAAGATGGATACATACACAATTTCTATTGTGTCCTCTGGTTGTTTTCTTATACTACATTGATTTTATATTTAACAGGTGATATGCACTGTTCCTCATGGGTTAATGTAATAATCTTGGGAGAATTTTGGATTTAGTTCCAATTTTTTCTTAAGAGAAACCTCGCTCTCCTCTATCTCGTAAATTTGATACACGGTGTCTGAAAAATCTAGCACTTATCTTAATACCATGTTCGTTGTTAAGTATCTTTCTATTGCCTTCTTTTAAACATGAATTAAGTATTTAAACAAGTAAATAACTTCCCTGCAATGATGATTGAATACATAACTTGTCAGGTTTTCTTGCCATTTGCCTCTTTCGGCATTGCAAATTCATTTTCCAACCTCTATTATTTGGTATATGGCACCTGCGTGGCATGGCGGGTCCATTTAGATGTGCTGTACGGCTCACAATTCTTCTTGGCCATCCCGAAAAGAATACGAGGCCTGGCACATCATATGTTAAGCAATGGAGATCTGTGGTGTTCTGCATGGCTTGTTTCTCTGTACGCTTGTATGTTGTCGCAATAATCACCGTAATGCCCCATCTTTTATGCTCGCCTTGTCTATTGTTGTACAATTTGAAGTAAAAAAATTTAGGTCTTAGACTTCTTTCATATCCTCTCAAAAAAGTTACAATTTTTTATGGAAATGTCAACCTTACCCTTGGAGGCGTAACGATTGGTTGGTGAGTAGTGATCAACACACCACACGATATTTTTTTTATAGATTATCAAGTATTATGTTTGTTACATAACAAATTATGTAAGCTAACGATATCTTCTTTGTATTTATGCCTGCAGGCACTCTTGCAATAACATCAAGTGGTTGTGTAGAGACTGATTCTGGGCGATGGCTGATTTTTTCATCAGTGCTGCAAAGATTGCAAGTTTAGTGCAGAAAGAACGTGAGCGGCTGAAGATTTTCGAAGGGGCTTGAGGATTACAATTGTTGGGCTTCAGACACAAGCTGAAAGCTAGATTTGGATGGGAATGGAAATAGAAAATGCAACACGTCGCACCTTTATATGACACGTAAAAATGCTATTTTTGAAAAAAGTAGGACTCGAAATGCCATGTAATCATTTTAATGCAGGTCTCCTCTTTTGCGCTTAACTGCTTCCTAATTCTGATTATGGATCAGTAGAGGGCTAATGGTATTTACCCATAAGGTTTTAAGTTGCTGCTGCTTGTTACAATATATAGGTCTTATTGTTGAATTTCTGTTTTTTGGGAGAAAAAGAAAACAACGGGGAAACAATTTAAAAGTATCATTTGGATTGAGGATAGAAAGGGGAGGAAAATTTGTTTAAATTGAGGACAATGCAGAAAAGGAGAGGAGAGGAGAAGACACTAGACAGATAATGTAAGAACTTTAATAAATGTGTTTGCAGTTAAGGAAAGGGATGGGAAAAGGGAAGATTCACACAGAATATGTGCTACTACTCAGCATTATTCTCTTGCCTTTTATAAAGTACCTAACCTAGATGCAAAATTAAGGTAATCTTTCATTCTTCATTTATTGTTCCTTTTCTTTCTGTTCAAACAAACCAACTTTAAGAGCATATTTGGCATGCACAGTAAATGTGATGATTTTAGCATATCTTTCAAAGGGAAGCTTCTTAGGCTGGGCCAGTTTTGGGAGGTGGGCCGGACATTCAGCTGAGCCCAGGGCTCGAGTTTTTCAGTCTGTCCCGGCCCATCTTGCCAAAATGTGCACCATACTATAGGCCTCTGCAAGGCTGGCAGACCAGCTTGGGTCGACCGTTTCACATTTCTACGTATACCATTCCATTTTACAACTTGGTTGAAAAACTCCTCTTTCAAGTTGGAAAGGAGTGAAAACAGATAAAAAGAAAAAAGGAAAGAGAATAAGCCACAGGGAAAAGGGCGGATGTCAGATCTGGTAACTAGAATTGACAATCATACACACATCCTATGTATGAAAGTATGAACTTTGACAAGGTTTCCACCATAATCAGCAACAGGAAAAACACAATACCATTACTTTCGAATCCAACTAAACTAGAATCAGAAAGCTTCTTCACAATTCTTTTTTTTTTTTTTTTTNTTTTTTTTTTTTTTTTTGAAATATTTGCAAGCCCCTAGAATCCTTATAAAGAATCCCTTTATCTTTCTCTCTCCAACCCCCCTTCCTCTCTCATATTGTCCTTCTCCCACTTTTCCATCATTGTTTCACAACAGAAATCATTAGTCATTTACTATCACAACTCAGAAGAATCTAACATGGAAATGCATGAGATATAATAGTAGAAAAATCCACCCATCAAAAAAGTGAAATCAACATGCACTTTTTATGGGTAGCTTAGGTGCTATTCATTCACGTCTCACCATAACTTTTCTAAGTTTCTTAAATAGTTTTTTTAAGTATATGAATATCCATGCGATTTTGAACTTCTTGACAGATGTAACATTCCATGTTATTTTAAGTGGTCATAAGCATGGGCGGATCTACAGTGGGGGTAGTGGGCTCACTTGCCCCACACTAAAATTTTAAATCCAAAATTTTTCGAGACTTTGCACAAGATTTACAAAAAAATTCTTTAATATTTTTCAATTTTGCTCTCAGAACTAAAATTTTGTGAAATTTGCCCCTACAATTCTAAAATTCTAGCTCTGCCCCTGATTATAAGAACTTGTTATTATTAACTCTAGGGGAGGTTTGCAAATTATGTTGTAATCTTATTCGAAGGCAGTTGATTATCTTCAACACGCCTATCACGTTCCTCACAACTTTATTTTTTCATCTAAGGTCTAACATGCAGAGTTTTACACTTGGTAGACCATTTTCATAAATCATATTGATTCATCTCATCGGAAAGCTAAAGCTAATAGATATTAGATAGGACAGAAATATATTTATGAATATTTTTTGTTCAACAATTGCGTGGCAGAATCTTTGATTGTTATAAAATTTCAAATCTCATGAAGGTAAAATAAGGCTTCCTCTTTTTTTTTTTGTTTCATTTTTGGGTCTGCCTTCATTGATCCAAGGGTCTAATGATGTACATTCAAAACACTGGAAGTCTTGGTCTCATTGATGACATTTGTACACATGTTCATATAACATCTTCTGTCAAAGCCTTGCAAAACAAACTTAGGATTAAAAAGCTTTTGTGGCTACCAACTTATGTCTTGATTTGGGTCACTGACCAAAAAAAATAAAATAAAATGGTCCTTCAAACATTTTACCATCAAGAAACTGTCATTTTCTTGTGAGTTCTATCAGACTGCCATGAAAGCTTTGAAACATCACTTTTGTTTTTTTTTTCTTTTCACTTTATTTGTGTTTAATCACATCCTTTTTCTATTGATATGAAAAGCACCTTCCAACTTTTGGAACATTAAGCTTAAGCACAACTTAGTAAGCTATCATGGGTGAGAATTTTCCTTGTCCTGTATTATTACTCCTTTCTCCAACATGATATCAAATGAGATGACAGTTTTCGAAATTTTTTATTGTATTTGAATATTCAGGGCCCCTTTTTCTTATTCCTTTTTCATAAAGAACTACGTTTTTTCGACAGAGCATAACGATTTATGATTCTCATTCAAGCAAATGCGCGCTGCCGAATCCCTTAATTCAATTTTTAAATATTTGTTGTCATTGGTTTCAAAGATGCATTTTCTCACCAGCTACTGGTTAACAAAACTTGTTGGCAGACTACAATAAGATATGTAGTTATTTTTCTTAGAACTAAGTTATGACACACTTTCCGAAAATGTGAGTTTTGTTAATAAAAAAGTAACTTTGAAATCATGTTTGGCAAAATAACCAAACAGTATCTTCATTCTTACTTGTATCATTGCTATTGTTTTCTGTAAGTCTTTGGCTACAGTCTTCTGATAAAAGGAAGAGTCATTTTTTTTTTAAATTTATCATTACAAGAATCTGTTCTTCTCTGCAGGAAATTTTGCTTTCCGTTTAAGCTATGATTGTCTAAATTATTCCACTTGTTTCTTTTCCCTTAAGATAGTAATGTTACTTTTCTTGAAAGAAAAGAATCATATTCTCTTTACTTCAACATTTCTTTCGTGTGTTTACTTTGAAAACTTCTGCTCGAAGATTCATAATTCTTAGATGAAACAATTCAATTCTTTCATGTGTTTACTTAGAAAACTTCTCCTCGAAGATTCATAATCTCTTAGATGAAACAATTTAACATGATCTCAAAGCAAGAAAATGGTTCGAGTTCCCATCTTGCTTATCAGGCCTTTGATGAAAAAAATGTATTCAGATTGCACGTAAAGAGAAGTGTCTGTTCTGTAACAGCTTAAACTTTCATATGATGTAATTGAACACAAATTAAGGGAAAAAAGCAGAAAGAGAAACAACATATATTACCACAACTTGAGGTTTAAAACTATCCTCATCAACTACACTTGACTGCCCATTGTTAGGAGCATATCCTTTGGGGCCCTTTCTTTACCTGTGAGAGCATATGTCCAAAAGCTGCTTCCTTCCTTCAACTATTTCATCAAAGAAGTCATCAAGTTGCCCAATGATGCTTTCTGCCCCAAATTTCAAAGCTGCAAAGCAACTCTTCAAGTTTTCAACCTTATCATGAATATCGACTTCTGATTTGTAATCAGGGATGCTCTCAATATCCACTTTCAGACCATCCATGGAAAGTCTTGCCCTTTGCAATTCATAAAGAAGGATTCCCTGCAGCCCTTCCGTACAATTTATCGTGTCCATCACTCTCTGATTCAATTTAGAAGCAGAAACGACAAAGGCTGGACTGAATCCCGAGTTTCCTTCAAAGCTTCCTTGGGAAAAGCTTACTTCTGGCCAATAGTATACAAGGCCACTGAGTAGGATAGAAAGAAGTAATGTGCTTGCTTTTCTCATTGCGTAGAGAACTCCTCGAAAACCATTGTACTTATTGAACTCTGATTCTGCCAAGACATTGTTCTCATCAAATCCCAGACATAGAGTTTGCATTCTAGTTTCTGCTATGCTCTTATTGTCCTCTTGCAGGGCTATAATTTCCCTTTGGCAGCCATTGATTGATCGAATAACCTGTCCAACAAGTAGTCAGACTTTCATAACCGATATTTTTTGCATTTATCTTTAGCACTGGTAGTAATAAGAAAGAAAATGAATCTTATTCATTATCTCATCGAGTCATGTTCAGTTTGAGAGCAAAAACTAATGTTATTTTTAATACTGTCACAAGGGGATTATTCTCAAAATACTAACCTGGTGGGAAAGTTGTGTGTCTAAAACTCGATGATCATCAAGGAAAGAGACTATATTGGCACCAGTGGAGTAGTAAGTTTCCATACCGGATACTCCGGATTTCAGCACATGACAAGCTTCCCAAAGCCTTGAGCTTTCGTCCATATACTCATCCAGCCACTTTTCTCCGACAGGCAAGTGTAACTTATGAACCAAAGCCGTTAATTGGGAGTGGAATGATCTGAGTGACGATACAACATGTTGAAGAAACTTGATTGACATGAAGTTGTGAGAAAGAAACAGGTGGTCAAGATTATTTAGTTCTCTTGAGAGGAAGTTGTAGAAACCACTGACACTAGTACTAGAGGAAGAATGACTCATCATGGGAGATAGAAAAAAGATTGAATATATCTTAGTAGGAAAAGGTGATGGAGATTGATTTATATATATATATATCTGAATTCTAAGCAAAAACTTGAAAACCGCGTCGTGGTTCTTCCAACCAATACTACCGCTTAATCAATGCCAGTGTGTCTATAGTATATATCTGTATAATTGTATATTTAAATTGTGAAAGATGCAGAAGAAGAAGGTGGAGAATAAAGGGAGTGAATGGCTTCCTCTTGTTTTTACATGTATGCAGCAAGTTAATATTTGAAGAGCTCAGGTTTCTAAAATGGTAAAAGAATTTGTTTGTTGGGAGCAATTATGTCTGTTTCCTATAGAGTGGAGGGGATGATTGAGAATCTGCCATTTGCATTATTTGACAAGCATGAAAGAGAGAGAAACAAAGTTGGAGAGACCGAAAGTGGAATTATTAATCTTTATTTTCTTTTAGGCTTTTGAGATTACAATGGGAAAAATAATAAATAAATAAAAAAAATCACTTTTGATTTTAATTCTGTGTAACTAGATTTTGTTTTTTGGGATGCAAAAAGTTTGTCTACTTTGATTAGGGATTTTTGGAACCCAACGTTTGATAAATTTTTGAGACATTAGTATATTACTTCTTAGCCCTTGTTTGGCTCCTATTATTGTACATTTTTTATGGTTGAAAATTTTCGGAATAGTGATTGATGGGAAAATGTGTAGTGGAAAAGTAGTGAAAAGTTTTAAATTTGTGTGTAATATTATTTTATTTGATAAATGTGTGGTTGTAATGAAGAGAGAGAAAAATTTAATGTAATGTAATTGAATTTAATGTGGCCAAACATGGGCTTAACAACGAGAAAATGCTAATTCATTTTCAGACATCTCGGCATCTTCCTAAAATGAGGTGAAGTCCCAAAATGTAAATAATGTATTATGGGACGCTAAATCGGGGACAATAGATCTCACTCAAGATTATCCTTCGTTGTCGTTGTATTCATTAGATCTCAACTTCGTGGAGCTGGTTGCGGACCAACCTTCGCGGTGAGGTTGCGCGTGGGGTTGGAGGGGGTGGGGGTGGGGCAGGTGGCCCCATCGTGCCCCGGACGAAAATTTTAATTGAATTCTGTTTAGGAATTTGTATTCTAGCAAAATTCTATGAAGGAACAAGAGTCTTTGTAAAATTCAATTTTGCTTTAATTTATTTTATAAATAGGAACAGTCCTTGAAATTTATTTATTATCATCAAATAGAACCAAACAGAGGTTTGAGATATGATTGATATTTTCTATTGTAAACTTTTTTTCATCGTAATGCATTATTACAGCGGCGGGAGATGATACAGTTTCACATTGAGGTGAATTTTTATAAATATTACGTATTCTTGATTGTTTATTTTCTTTATTTAAATTGATTACTCTTGGTGAGATATAATTAGTGTTTATAATTCTCAACATATACTTCATTGTCGTTGTATTCAATCTTTCTTTAGTTTTCTCAAAGATTCATTAATGCCTTTTAATATGTCATTTAACTTAATTTCATTGCTTAAAAGGGGAGGGAACGGCGAGATTTCTTGAAATATGAAGATGTTGGGTAGATCGGAGTTGATTATATTGAAGAAAATATTTGATACATTTCAATTCTTTAATAATTTTACATAGTCCAATGGACCAAATATACGCAAAGATAAGAAGAAGATTATGATTCCATAAACACGTATTATGATTCCATAAACACGTAATCCTCCCAAAAGTATCTCTACATAAAATAAGAGGAAGGAAAAGCTATCCAATTTCTTGAATATCTATGCCCTTATTATCCCATGGAGACATACTTTGTTCTGATTTGCGCTTTTAGGCATATATATCCAAAATTCGAATTTTCTTTTGAATTGCATTAAACCCGCTTTTGATCTTTTGGTTTTCTGTAATGATAAACCATATCATTTTTATATTGCACCCACAAAGTTAGGGATAACAAAAAAACTCGATAAACGCGGGTCCCGCATGCCCAGTCCCAAATAGGGCGAAAATTACCCTCTTAATCGGGTATTCGGGGAGGGAGCGGGTAACGGGTGTCTCGCCCAGCCCCGTCTCGTCCCGTCCCATTTAATATTTTTTTTTTTAGAATTCAATACTTCAAATGAAAAATTTAACGAAATTGTATTAGTTCTAATAGTAAATGATAACTAAAATTATCTAAAAAATATGACAAATAATAAAAGCCTTAATTTATCAAATATATTTGAATAATTTAACTTTTAAAAATAATTAAAGATTAAAAAATATATTATTCTCTTAATCTAATGAATGTGGGCAATAACATAAATTATCAAAAACTTAAAAAAAAAAAAAAAATTAAATGGGGTAGTAAATATGGCAAGGACCCCACCCCACCCCGTCTTAAACGGGTAACGGGGCAGGGGAGGTTGCTCCGACCCTCACCCCGTCCCGTTGCCATCCCTACACAAAGCCCTGCTGAAAGAACAGGGTTCAAATTTTAGTACAAATAGAGTTGATTGACAAGAGTTCCAAAATTTGGCCTATAAATCAATTGTCACTTAGAACGTACTAAGTTCCTTTGCCTTTTCCCTCTGAACTACTTGACATCATTATCTATACTAATCAGATCAATAACATAGAGGAGTAAAGTAATAAGACATTCATTGACGAAGACTTACATTAGCAACATCGTTAAACCAAGTTTGGCAATAATAATACTAGCCTTCTTTTTGGAAGAATTTATAAATGGTTTAATCTATAAATAAATAGAAATAATTGGTAAATAATTTAATAATATTGGTGGGTTCATTGGAATGAACGGTTAAAACTTAAAATAAAGTTTGAACAATTTATAAATGATTTATAAATTTGCCACTTGGAGGCTAAAATTTAGCGACAAACATGTTCCAAAAGACTCTGTTTATAAAGAATATTTTATGTATGATAGAAAACATATTTAATTTAGAGAATAATGTTCAATTCTATAATTTTGAAGCTGGTCAGATTGGTAAATTATTCCTTACTAAAGTAAATATTCTAGCAATAATATGATCACTCTTTTTAAGTGCAATGATCCAGAAAAAGTAGTAGCCATGACTAGGTTAGTAGTGATTTCAAAGTGGTAAGATGACTTTTTCCTAGGCATTAAGTGACCATCTTATTTGTCTAAATATTGAGCTGTTTCTAAATGACTAGGTTATAGTCGAGCGTGTTGCATTAGCAAAACTTGTGCCCTCTGCCAACTGAATAGTCGATGAAGTTTTAACATTGTGTGTACTTGAAAGGTCTCATGACTAGATTCATTGACTTTTCACCAACAAGCGTGCATTTCTTCACTACGAAAATCTTGTGTACCATGATGTAATATGAACAAGGCAGTGTGGTCCTAATTACTCTTCGGAGCAAAGTGGAAGAAAGGAGAGGATTCTTTGAACACCTCTGCAGGGACATAGTACATCAGAATAGATATCCAACATCAAAGACTTGTGCTCATTTTTTTTGTGAGTGGATGCATGAGGGAAAAGCCACACTCCACATATTCCAAAAGCAACTGGTTTGGGTCCCATTTGGTTCAAGAAAGTGCTTCGAATTTCCCTAAGTGCCCATAACATTGTTTGACTCGAAATTTTAGCATGGAAACATGAAGGGATTGATCACCATAATAAACATTATAATGCTGCAATTTGATAGACTGGCCATCAATCAAATCTTTTCAGATGGGATTGCAAAAGAAAACTAGAAAATATTTCAGTTTTCACCAACCAAAGTGACCCTTTAATGGGCATCTTTATGAACAACATTTCTACATGCCATATTGGTAGATCGTGTCAACAAAGAGATGTGTGCAAAGCTTTGCTCAGACGTCCTTTCTTTCAATTTCGTGTTGGGCAGCACAATTAGGTGTATCGGACTGAATTTTTTTTTTCACTGTCGGCCCTTTCAGTCATTCTAGTGATAAAAAGTATAAAGTGGTGAAAAAAATATTTATGCGGTCGTATTTAAATATACCAAGAATAAGACTTGAGTCTATAAATGCTTTTTTCTACAAATTATTATATATGGAAAATAATCTACTTTTGTGAGAGCACATCAATTGATATTCCATCATAAGTGGAGTTGACTTGAAGGACTTTCAGGTTTGCATTGTGCTGTAGAGAATCAAAAAAGAAGATACTATATAACCAGTGGAACACACAAACCACAGGGACTAGGAATTATGAAAAATTTGACCTTACTCAATCTAGAACAATGCTTAATTCTTTTACAAGAATTTAGCAGAATGCACAAGTAATTTCTATGAAAACTAGCAGTGAAAATCTTAAGGCTCCCTCAATTCACTTTCTGTTATCTAAGTTTGTTGGGCTGTGATGCCAGCAGCCCACCAATGCACAATTGCCTAATAACTCCATATCCCTTAGCCCAAAACCATGATCCATGTTTAAAGTTGTTTAGATGTAACGCGAGTTTGGTAATCTGCTACTCAATAGGTTGCCAAAGTCATGAGTTGCTCTGGAACGTTGGATTGGATGGATTGATCATGGTTGACAACAAGAGTATAAAAGAAGCTTCCTATTGCCTTGATCTTCATCTCTCTGAGATATGCTGTTTGCTTTCAGAAAAAGGTCAAAGCATGTGCCGATTTTAAAAGAGGCTACATATATTGATTTTTGTAATATCAAAATTCTCTCCGTGTAAGTCAAGATCAGTAACATAACTTCTAGCTAGTAATTTCAAATTAAGGAACAATGTCGTGTAGATGAATCATATATTATATATATGGATGAAGTATCCTATGCAAATGCTGTGGGCTCTATCATGTACACCATGGTGTGTAACAGACCAGATGTGTCCCATTCTATAAGTACACTTTGTAGATTTACGGCCAACCCAAGCCCTAAACAATACATTGAAGTGGTTACTTAGGTACTTTAAAGGTACATCACACTTAAGGTTAGTCTTAGGCACCAGTAATGAAGGAACAATACATAAAGGATTTGTAGATGCAATATT